ATGCAACAAGAGACTCTTGAATTAAAGCATGTAAAAAGTTATTAAAGAAATAGTTAACTAAGCTGCTTAGTATTGTAAATCAAATAATGTGGTGCATTTTCGAAAGCAAATACTCTACTATGTAGAGGTACAGTCACTGAAGATACTAGTTGTCGCAGTTTGAAGGTTGGAAATGGGTATCTGTGTCTTCTAGGGTAAATTCCATTCTAAGCAATACATATGTGATAGTTTAGGAATCAAGCAAATTATATTGTTTCTCTTGGTAAATTAAGGGGAGATGCACACTGATGAATTTGTTCATAATGAACAAGAAAAGAGGAGCAGTAACAAGATAATTGTCTGAATCTCAGTCTATCTGCCAAAGTTTCAAAGATATTCTAAAGGTTATGCTCTTAAATTTTATATGTTAAGTTATATGCAAACTAAAAGGACTGGAAACTGGCAATTCAGGCATCTCCAAGCTCATTTCCTATATGTACACTTGAAGAAAGAAAAAGAAGGGAAATTAAGCACTTGATGTTGATAATTGATGGAGAAAGACTCCCAGTTTGCTGTTTGGACCAGTCAAAGATGAGAAGTTTATGATCACGTTAATCACAAAGCACAACAAATATATCTTGAATGCTAGCAAGTGACTAGTTCAGTAAAACAAGCCTCTGTTTATCACATTTTTTACTGATAACATCTCAGAGATGGCAAACTGTCAACTTCAATTTTGTCTTATGAATATGTGCAAGAAAAATCTCATCTTCTTTAGTGATTTTGTACAATTTCATACCTGTATCACCAATTTGGTATTTGTGGAATGATGCAGAAATGGTCTTTACAACGTAGTTTTTAAACACATGCAAAAGTGTAATTTCCAATCCTTTCACTGAAATTTACCTACAGGATATACAACAATAAACTACATAGTTATATCATCCAGAATACTGTGGAAACTTTATCTGGTAACATGTACTAATCTGAAAGTAAAAACATATTTTCTTTTGAGTCCTGCCAGTACTCTTTTGCTTAGCAAATACATCACTGACAGACAGAAACAAGCACTTTTCACAATAAGTAAAAACAGATGCATTACTTAAGAAAGGAATGTGGGATTCAGAGGCAGAATCATCTCTTGCGTACTTCAAAATCCAACACTGTACAATATATTTGTCTTTATCCATTGTATGCAGATGGCTTTGGATGACAGTGTGTCAGAATATCCTTTTGTATTTGAGAAATGAACTTCAGTACAACAATAATTATAACCTTTCATTGATAATTACTTATAAAAAATTATAAGCATTCATTCTTGTATATATTAAAACATCTGATTTTGTTGTGCTTTAGGAAGAAACATATTTCAAAGTGACAAAGGGTTTTTGGCTTTCAGGATATCATGACAAGGGAAAACGAATCTCATTTCAGTGTATACGAAGATACTGCATTTCTAACAGCAACGCATCCACCAGTCTGCTGGGATGGTTCAGAATGAAGTTCTAGTCTTAGGTTTAAATGTTGATTCCCAACACAGACTTTTATTTTCTAGTCTTTTGATCTGCTGATAAACTACAAATAAATTACCTATATTCCATTTGCTATAAGCAATTTGATCATACATTGTTTTCAGCTGTTGGCAACAGGAAAGACTAAGAAAAAATTACCTATTGCTTTTACGCTATTGCTTTGGACAGTCATATGTCCTGAGTAATAGTCTAGTCAATGTGCTAAGAAGCAAATTCAAGTCAGCATTCAGTTATTTCAATGTCTTAATACCTGAAAAAATGCAGTTCATTGAGTACAATGCCACAATCCAAATGGTAAAGCTGACATTTATTCAGAAAGAAATCTGTTTAATTGTTGAACTGAAAGGAATTGCCTGTCGTTTAGGAATATCTGAAAACCAAAAAGCTCCAAAGTATAATAGCCAACATACATATCTATATTTAAAATTTCCAGTCTTGTATCTCATCTGTATACCAGTCTGCTATCCTCTCAAATTAATTGAAGATTTTATTATTGAGAGGTTTACTCTCCCTGCTGACATGCACATTAGAAAAAATCTTACACTTCAGTATATAAATTGATCCTAAAGTAGGGAAAGGCAAAGAGAAAAGTTCCTTTCAGGTATATTGCTACATGGTTCATCTAGGGTTTTGACCTTTGCTTCACAGTATCACTTACTGGCTTACTGCTAAACACTGGATTAGGTGGAATAGTGGTTTATTCTAGTATGTCATCGGAATGCTTAAACATAATCTACTTTTCAAAAGACATTCTCCAGTTTTATGTATGGCATGTACAGTAGTAGCATAATGCATTATTAAAGTTCAGACCAAAAAAATGTATTTTCATGAAGAAGCAATTTGTAATAACTGTAGGAAAAATTCTTCTGCTCTCTACACAGAAGCAGATCAGAAAAGAACCTGGATGTATGTAACTCATTTTCTTCCCATTGTGTTTGTCCATTAAGCAGATGAAGTGCACACTTCCCATGCTGTTCCATTCATACAACACTGTTCATTCAGAAACAGAACATTTCCTTTAGTTGATGGATTAAAGGCAGGAGAGGGGGAGGTGTGTAAAAATGTTTTGGGATGTGCAATACTTCAGGAACAACGTTTAAAGTTAATTCACACTTTTGTAGTTTGTACTGTATTTTTTTACACAACTTCAAAACAACACAGTTACTGCCTCTTAAATGAACAGAAGTAACTTTTAAAGAGCAAGACCTAATGCAGGTTTTTGTGCAAGTTAATGTCAGGTTATTTTTAAAACCAGTCTCATATTACACTTTCAATTCACTAAAAAAATTAAGTGAACATAATTTTTTTGCCCTGCCTTGACTGATCTTGCATCATATTTTGGTAAGTTGAAATATGAACCTAGGAATGTGTGTTAGTGACCTTAAAAAGAACAGCAAGTAAACTCTAAACAACTTTAAAGGTTATTGTTTGCTTTTCATCTTCACTTGCAGACCAGGTGTCTCTAGCAAAGCAAATCTGAGGAAAAGCTACTTTTTGTTGGAGGTTCTTTGTGAACAAAACAGATGACATTAAGAACAGGTGTTAAAATAGTGAAAAAAGCAAACAGCAATTATTTTACAGGATGTTTAGCTGTGGAACAGCTAGAAAAAAAAATCAGGCTATTCTAAAGCATCTTAGTTGGAAGTCTTTGCTCAAATAAAAGAAACATTTCTCTGTCTAGTAAATCATAATCTGCCTTTCAATCCCCCAAAGAACGGGTAAGAGATACTTATCCTATTCCTCTTAGAACTGATTTCCCAGGGACTAACAGGAAAAAGCATAGTTTTTACTAAATAAGGATGCTGGAATTTGTTTACCTGATGCCACTTATGATACTGTGTTTGCCTACTTACGTAGCATTTAGCACTGGAGTCTTGTGTGATTTTACTATTTATGTTAGGAATTGCTTAGCAGCTGGGTAGATTGGACTGTTTTACTTTGTGTGTTTTTCATCTTGCATTGCACATCTGTTAATGTTGGTCTTAACACTACAATAGTGAGCATTGTAAATTAACAAGTAGAATGGTAAGTACGGATGTGGAGAGAAGTATGTTTGCCTTTTAGATTAAAAAAACAAGAGCTACTTAACTGACATTATTTGGGTGTCTAAATTAAGCCTCCTAAACCCATAAAGAGAGATTTAGAGTCCCACACTGGAGCCTTCAAGTGTATGCATTTTGGATTTAAGCTTCAAGGCTCATTTTCAGGTTGATGAAAACACTGTGTTGTCCACTTTGGAGTGTGACTTCTGTTTCTTACACTCAAATTTGCCAGCAGGTTTCTTTGGTTATATCATACTAGTTCTCTAACTTTTTAACTGATGAGAGAAGTGAACCCTAATGCAAAGTTATTTTATAGCTATGTATGAAGTGGCTACTCATTGTAGAAAACTGAATTCTCTCCATTTCCAACACATATTTCTTACATTAAAAAAAAAATTATGACATCACTGGAACACCTATTTGGAAATACAATGTCAAGTCCTCAAAATATTTATTGCTGAGAAGATAGGCATCTTGGTACAGAACATAAATGCTTACAAATTTATTATGCAATTAAACTATATTGTCAAGCTTTTTCAGGTACTAGTGAAATAAAGGTTTTTTAAATCAAAATCTCGAACTGCATAGCATTTTAAATCAAATTATTTTCTATATTAATGTGAAATAGTTATCAAGGTTAATTCTCTAGTAATATTAAGAATATATACAGCAAAATTTTTTTCTGCTCTTTCAGATATAGTGTTAGAAATGTTGTCACTTTCAAGTATGATGTGACAAATGTTGCCACTTTGGCAATAAACATGTCATTTTCCCTTAGGTCCAATGGAGTTGCATTAAAGGAAGCTCTGTGGCATCTTCAACACCTTTTCCAGAATGTTTTCCCTTGAATGTTGTACATTTGAGTGGGAATGTTACAGGATGCAAAGAATATCCTCTAATGCACTTTCTTGAAATTCTATCATTTCAGAGGGCTAATTTCACTGCAAGTCTGACTTGCAGTCTTTGCTTAGAATTAGTTCTTTATCAATGGTGATTAATAGGTTTATTTCTGCATCCAAGTTTTGAAATCACATTTCAGATAACATTTATCAAACATGCCTTGGATAAAGGTACATTCCATATTCTTTAAATAGGGCTAGAATAGCCCTTGTTAGTTATTTATAAATTAGTAGCTGGTTATGCCTGAAATTTCAGATATGCCCACGGTCCGTCTCTGTATGTAATTACTATTTGTCCAAGCAACTCCAATGACAAACTTTAAAGCATGATCTCTGCAGAACTCTGCAGTTCACTGGTCCTTCCTAGTCAGTAATGTTCCAGACTTCAAAACAACTTTTTGACTGAAAGGTAATTCAAAAATCTATCTTAGACAATACATTTTGTGAATTTAGAAACTGTTAGAGAAAACAAACATACAAACAAACAATTAAATAGATAACAGGATGTTGCAAACAAGATTTTTAGGATAGAAATTATATTACCCCACCTTCATTAGCCACTGAGTGTTGTTTTCCATGATGTTCTCAAGTAGCTGCAGTCTTTGAACTGAATCATCATAGTCCAGCGGCGCATCCCTCTGCACCGCGTTGGACACGTACGGAGTGGAGGACCGGCAATTGTCCGTCTCGGGCAGGAGGAAGGTGTAGCTGCACGACCCATGCTGAACCTGGTACTGCTTCTTGCCTATCGTCTCCATACTCTTACTGAAGGAGTTGTATCCTGAAGCTAGGAAGATACCGCAGCCCAAAAAGAAGCAGGCAGCCAGCTGCATTTTAATCCCTGCGGCAACCCGGCGGACCGAGAGAGCCTGGGTGCGCCGGCCGGAGCCCGGCCCTAGTTAACCTGCGGAGCAGCCGAGCGCTCTGCTGCCATGTGCCGCCAGGGCAGGGCAGGGCAGGGCAGGACTGAGTTTCCCTCCCTCGCTCCCTCCCTCCCTCAGACGCCCGGGGCGGTGCGGCCGCTCCCGCCGTGCCCGCAGCTGCCAGGGAAGCAGCTGGGCCGGCCCCGCCTGGCCCACCGGCCCGCTGCCTTCCCTTCCGAGCTCCTGCCGCCTTAGCACCCTGATCAATCCCTTCCCGGCCCTTATATGATAAGTTGAGAGAGCGGGCAGACACGGCAGCGGAGCTGCTCCTCCCTCCCGCGCTCGCCGGTGCCGGGGGGGCACCGCGGGACGGCTGGAGGGAGCGGGGCGGCGAGAGGAAACCCCAGGGAGGAGCCGGCAGAGCAGGACCCCTGCGAATTCCTGCGGCACGGCTCTAATTAAGGGTTTCCTAGACAGAGCAATCAGTTCCGATAGCCTCCAACTATGCTTGTAAATTATTTGAGGGGGTAATAATTTCTAAACTGTTCCACCTCCTTCCACCCTCCCCCCACCAAAAAAAAAGTTCCTGGGCTTGCTTGTTCTTAAAAATGTGTTATTTTTTAAATGTGCTGAACCAAGATGTAATTTAGTTGGTGTTTAATGCACTGTGTAATAACAGAGAAAGACACTGTCCCAAGCATACAAAAGCATGCACCTCCTTGCAAAGAGAACAAGGGGCCGTTTTCAGCTGAATACAGACTTCGTATTTTACTGAATCTCTGAGATGAATACTCATTTTTAAGCATATCTTTCAAGAGTTAAGCATTTACAAGCTTTTTATTTATTATTTTAAAAGCCTTTTTTGTCTATATGAAATGGCTAACTTTGGAAGTGCTAATGCTAATAAGAGTTAGAAATCACGAGTCAGCTGGGACTGGAAGAGGGAATAACCATCCAGAGGCAGTGGCAGTAAGGCATGGCCCAGGAAGTGGCATGGCTGAATAGCAGTCACCCTGTCAGCTCTCCCTAGCCCAATTCTGTGCCTTTAGAAGTGAGAAATACCCATAAAAGGTGAGGGAAACACTAATAAATTAAGTTTTTGAAATGTATATGTAAGAGTAAAAAGGAGGTTCCCCCTGCTTCCCACTCCCATGTTCTCTGCAGTGATCAGTCATCTTGAAAAAGTGGAAAATTACTAGCCAACTACCAGACCCTGGGAAAGAGTTCATTCCACTGAAAGTTTGGAAAAATTTACTTCTCTGTAGAAAGAAAATGACTTCTTGAAACCAAGATGATAGGATTCTGACTCCTGAAGACAAACTGCCTGATGAGATTTTGGCTAGGTCTGGATCTGGAAACTATAGATTTTTTTTAGTTAAACAGAGGGAATGCCATGCTCATGAAACTAGCATGAATTACTGACCAAAGTTCCTCTTATTCAAGGAAAATCCCAGCATGCCTCAGGATGTCTTAGGACAGACTGTCTTACACAATTTGCTATATCTCTTATAGTGTATTAATGTGGCTTTTACTTTTTAAATCGTGGAAATTGTGTCCAGGAATTGTCAAAAATAGTTGTAGCAGTTAAAATGCATGTATTACATTGTTGGAAGCTGCTGGGATCTCATTACGTACTACATAGTTACTCTGGAAAGGATAATCTCTAGACTTCAATTCTGGAGAATCCCAGAAAGATTCTAATGACAAGTGGAACCAATTTGTCAGATTTTTTCCTATGGAGTATTTGTCTGCCATTGTTCATCCTTCCAGCCAGAGGAAACAGAGGAGTATGTTTGGAACAGTCTAGATTATTTTCTACAAAATGTACATATTTGGAGTGTTTGGTATATAAATTATGTATTCTCCATCCCTTCAGCTTTGTATTGCAATAATAAAGCAGATTAATGCGATAGCTGCATTGATAGCAAAAGTTTCAAACATTTGTATACTGATGTCTAACTTTCAGTGTATTAAAGTCTTTGAAAGGATGTTTAATTCCATGTGAATAACAGTATTTTGCGAGGTACTTGAGAAACCTACTATTACCCAGTGAAGACAGAATGTAGCATTAGATTAATGCACTAGACTGTGTGAAGCATTTCTAAGTATCTAACCAGACACTGAAATTCAGGATTTTCTATTTAAGTACTTTAATTAATTTGTTAAATTAAATGAGAATTTCCTATTATGACTTTTACTTGCTCTTAAATTGGCCTGTTCTGTCTTTTCTTTTCCTTGAACAGCTAGCTCAAAAAATACATATCTTACCAGTCACTCCCCCTTTCCCCACCGTTTGCTTATACTCAATAGAGTAGTGCTGAAAATTAGATTGCTGCACCCCTGAAAATATCTGTCTCTTAATGAGGAAGAACTGGAGGATAATCTTTATTTTTATTACTATATTTTCGTGGATTTTTTTCATTCTTTATTTAGATATTAAATATCCAAAGATGAAACTGAGCAATGTAGTCTTTTAGATGTTTTCTTTTTAATTATTAGACCTCTACTCAATGGACTACACATATATAAAAGACAAGACTTAAGGAAGAGTCTGCTGAGAATTCATTAGACAGGATCTCTATGAGAGGCTTGATTAAATCAGTAGTTTTTGAATGGCTATGAAACTATGAATCTGTGTGCCACTCTAGTGAGTCAGATCACCAGCATAATCTGGCAGCTCAGTTTTGCTGGGTTTTTGAGGAGAGACTGGAGTGTCTCTAAAAGTTTGAACTGGAGTCTGTTTTCCTTTAGGAAAGGCCAAAGCATGACCCCCGGGAGGCCCTTGCAATCTAACGGGGCCAGGAGCAAAACTGAACTTGGAGACTGCCTAGGAAGGCTTGCTGTATCCTGGGCCTCCACTAGGGAGAACTGTGGTTGTAGGAATACTGGAGAGAGAAACAAGTTCACCTTTTGCTGCATTTTTGGATGGGTTGGTTTTTGGGGGGGTTTTGTTGCTGTTTTGAATCAATGAATGAATAAATGAGTAAATGGCCAGTTGCTATGGCAGCAATTCGGCAAAAAGGTACAGAAAGCACAGGTATTGTTCTGAGAACTGACAACAGACTACTAGTGGAAGATTCTTACCAGCACAGCAGGCATCACCAGTTACTACTTGCTGTGCTTCTCATCTAGCTCATGGAGTAACACCCTGAGGTTCACCATGGTAATGTTTTCCCCAACTTTTTCTTGATACTCCCAGGCTGTAGGGGCAATAACTCGAATACAACCCCCAACACACCTAACTGAGAGAGGGTTTTCTGTTTCCCCATCTGGGTCCAATGGACTCATATTGCTTTAATGAAGTGCTCTGTCCTGCTGTCCAGGAAAGTTAGTGAGCATTCACCTTGCCAACGAAATAAATACACATCCCTTTAACCCTTCACTGCAGGATACTACCGTATTTGGTTCATCTTTTGGAGCATTTGATTGTGATCCTTCACCCATTCTATCCCTTTGGGAGCAGCTTTCCCAGCTGTGGAGGGGGAAGTGGTCTTCTCTGCCTCCCCAGGGAGTCAAAGCCAGTCAGAGTTCAGGGGCAAAGAAAGTAGTAACAGCTAAATTTAGAAAACTGGTGTGAAAAGTAAGGCAAGTTAAATACACTTTTGTCCTTGAAATCTGAGGAAGAGGAAGGAAGATGCCTGAATGCAAGCCTTTTTACTGAGCTGCAGAGGCGTTATAACAAGCCTGCTTGAAGGGAAGGGCTTATTCCAAAAAAGCTGAATGACGGAGAAGATCTGTCCCCTGTCAGTTATGAGAAGGACTGTCTCTTTATTAGACATGTTGAAATAGGGAGGAATTTAAATAATTTGGCATGGAGTCTTATAAATGTCAGTATGAAATTGAGTAAAAAGTTATAATTCAGACTAGTCGCTTCCTCTCGGTGTTTCTTTCGTGGTTGTTGTTCTCTTTAATTTCTACTGTCATTATGGAGTGTCATATTTACACTCATGATACTTTTATTCTGTAAACTAAAATAGAGCTGTTTAGCCTGTGTTTTCCAGCTTGCTTTAGAGCTGAGTGTATACAGTATTTGCCATAAAATAGCAAATAGTGGCTTGGTATATTTAAAGTACAAATTAGATCTTTCCCTTTTTAGAAAGAAGATACCCACTCTACAAGACTCACCTTATAAGCAGAGCTGAAATGTATATTTTCTCAAAACTAAACATTTAGAACGTTTTGCCAGATGTGTGCAGGCAATTTCCTTTCCTTGGGAAACAGTAAATTCCCTTACTCAGCCAATCCTGGTTTTATTCCATGCACCATATAACTGAGCTGCTTTGAGAGAGATGCCTGAATTCTACTAACATTATCTTTCCAATTATCATTTTACATACAGCTGCACAGCTTCTGTTTGACAGGCAGATACAGAAATCTTGTGAGATCTCTGATAGAAAAGGAAGCATATAAATTTTTGAAGCAGTGTAAGAAAATGTTGACTTGGCTTTAGTCTGCTGTCTGTAGACTTTGCCACCTAAAACTTATAAGATGTTGATTTAGTAGATAAGTTTCCATTTCAGCAGTTTTCTTTTTTTAGCAAGGGAAAAGTACATAATGAAATATGTGCAAAATGAAGGCAGAACAATTTAAGCAAGTAGGGTTTGGTGCTGCTTTCTTACAGGGGTATTTGATCTACACATATAAATGAAAATGCCGTAATGTGAGAATGTATAACTTCAAAACCAAATCTGAGATGAAAAATTATCTAAAACATGGAATAAATTAGTGAACTATTTCATATATTCCTGGTATTTACATTCCTCACATTTTGACACTCCATGTTAAGTCCCTACCTTTGGTTCCTGGTACTTAAATATTAGTTTGTGATAGTTCCATTTGCTGTCTTCAAAATATTTTCTTCCACTGGGACTATTTTAGCATTTTTCTCAGGAACAAATGTCAACAAGGACAAGACTCATGAACTTGTAACTTAAAAAAACAGGGGACAGAATCTAGGACCCTACTGGATTTCTAGTCTGCTGAAAATCTTATCTGTTTTTAGATCTTTCACTCTCTCTGAAAGAGAGGAGTGACAGGTTATTATGTTTTCCTAAAAGCCAAACCATTTCTTTTCATCAAGACTCATAGTTCAGATCTTTAGCACTTTAAAATTA